ACTTCTTGATGAAAGCCAAGTAAGGTGCATCGTGGATGAGATCAAACATGTCATCACTGCTAGTTCAACAAGAAAGCATGAAAGAATGGAGAGGACAAAAGCAGAAGATTTTGATGCAGATGAGAGAGAATTGCTGGACGAAGAAAATGAGCAAGAGGAAGAAGTTTTCGATCAGGTAACTCATTGTGATGGATATGCCATCTTATGCTACTTAGTAGTTTTTTGAGGTCTATTTGAGGATCAGTTTGAGAATAAGGTCGTATACCTCATTTTTGTATTTTGATCAGGTTGGTGATTGTTTGGGAACTTTGATCAAGACTTTCAAGGCCTCATTCTTGCCTATGTTTGATGAGCTTTCATCTTATTTGACACCTATGTGGGTAAGTTTCTTGAAAACTTTCATCTTTCTATAACGTTTCATAACTTTGATATTAAAAAATAGCCACCATTCTGAATATACACGAGTTTTTCATTCTTTACGATTTTTGTTCAAAGACTTCTGTTTTTATATATTACAAAGATGTCAAGTTGTGGGCACAAAGTAGTCAATCACATCACTTGATAAAAATGACATAGTTTGTTTTTGAGTTGGCGATTCCAAAATATGTTATATATCAGGTGAGGCTTCTCCCATTTATTCCGTCAACTTCATCATTCACTGTTTATAGCTAGACCTCAAAAGTGAATGTTGTGTTCTTTTGATTTGCAACTCGGACATATTGGGTTGTGGAAACAAATTTATTTTTTGAAGTGTATCTGAAAGTACTTAACCTCTAATATTCAAGATATTCGGTTTGCAGGGTAAGGATAGAACAGCAGAGGAGAGGAGGATAGCAATATGTATTTTTGATGATCTTGTTGAGCATTGCCGTGAAGCGGCCCTCAGGTAATCATTTCCTCGTAATTTACTCTCTTATGAGCATTTTATCTTAATTTTTCAAATGTGAATCAGGTATTATGATACCTACCTTCCTTTCTTGTTGGAGGCTTGCAATGATGAGAATCCTGATGTCCGTCAGGTTTGTTCTGCCTTTGAATAACCGTAAGCGATGATTTTCTTATTACCTGACAAGCTTTATCTAATTCAGCCAGTACTCTATTTACAGGCCGCTGTTTATGGTATTGGTGTCTGTGCCGAGTTTGGTGGATCTGTGTTCAAACCACTTGTTCAAGGTTGGCTTCATTAGGACCTCCGTCGTCTTTTGAGTTGTCGAGTTCCCTTCATTTTAAATGGTGGATGAACTTGTTGTCTTTTCTTTCTTTTGTGCAGAGGCCCTTTCCAGGTTGGATGTTGTGATACGGCACCCTAATGCACAACATTCTGAAAACATCATGGCATATGACAATGCTGTTTCAGCTCTTGGAAAGATATGTCAGTTCCACAGAGATAGCATAAATGGATCTCAGGTTTGTGTCTGTCTTCAGTCAGCATCTCTTTCATAGTTTTTAAACTAAATTCATTCATATTCATTTCAAATGAACTCGCTCTTTCTTTTCATTTAGCGTAAATGTTTAGATAGAGATTTTATGATGGTGTTTTTTCAGTTTATATTCGTGCATTTCTGTGAAATATGCAAAACACCATAATCTGGATTGTCTGTCTAGGTTGTAACTCAAAAGAACACGTTTATATTTACCCCAAACTCTGCGAAGCTATCCAATGGATCGATTGCTCAACCGAAATACCTCAAGTTTAGGCTTTTCGTTGTGTTCTCGTTTGTCATAAAACATGCCAAGTTCGAAACTCGTATTCTATTTATTGCATCAATGGATCCTGTTTTGAACTACAACGCTTTTACGGCATTTGTATAAGTAGTTTGTACACTTATTTCTGTGTCTTATTTGGCAGTTGGTTCCTGCTTGGCTAGGCTGCTTGCCTATCAAGGGTGATTTAATTGAGGCAAAGATAGTGCACGATCAGCTCTGTTCAATGGTTGAAAGGTAGAAGTCTTGCTTCCACAAGACATTGTAGCATTCAATTTTATTCGCCTAATTCATTGCCTGATGTTTTCCTCCATTTAATTAACAGGTCCGATAAAGAACTCTTAGGTCCCAACAATCAATATCTTCCCAAAATCGTTTCCATTTTTGCTGAGGTATGTATATATGTATGCTATATCTTAAAATATGGTGAAAGTAATTGCCCGAGTACACGAATGTTTTGTATGCTTTGATTTCTCAATTCTTGGGGCGCTGTTGATTTAGGTTCTATGCGCGGGTAAGGATCTTGCGACGGAGCAAACTGCAAGTAGAATGGTAAACCTTTTGAGGCAGCTTCAGCAAACTCTACCACCCTCCACGCTAGCATCGACCTGGTCGTCTTTGCAACCACAACAGCAGCTTGCACTTCAATCAATCCTCTCATCCTAGTGTAATTTGGATTGCCAAGACAGGTCATTCTTTGTTCCAGATTGTTGTGTCGAATCCTGAATTGGTTGGTTACATCTCTTGAATGGGTTGGCTGTGTGTGTTTTCTGGTATTTTTGGAAGCATTTTACCCCAACAATGTCATCCCTTTTTGCATTGCTCAAGCACAGTGGTGGTCATCCCTTGAAGAAAGCTGCTGCTGCTCCTGCACTGGCGTCGAGTGTTTTTATCGTCCCGTAATTTATTTAATATTTTATTTTTTGTGCGCTTGTTTAAAGCATCGATTTTGCACGGTCTGAGCGCTACGTTATAGAGTTGATATATAGTTTGTGTATAGTACGAAATCATTGGTGAACCAGTTCCTACTCTCAAGGAAAAGAGTGAAGCAGCAAGCAAAACAATGTCGAGTGGTTATTTGTTATTTGAGGCTTTGAAGTTTTGGAGAAGAGTGAGGTCGAAGCGTCACGTCTTTGAGCTCTAAAAATTTAAGAAATTATTTGTTTGCCACAATGTCTTGGTTTTTGTACCTAATTTTTTTTATATTAATTGCTTATTAGGTTATTACAATGTGTTTTGTGGAGACTTGCCCGGAATAAGAGGTAGAATCTCTATTTAAACGAAGAATGGGGGAGTGGAGACCCGCTCACAATGGGATATGGAATCCCAATTTAAATACATAATGGTGAGCGGGGACGGGGACGGGGACGGGGACTTGCCCATAATGTGATATGAAATTTAAATGGAGAACGAGTGAGTAGAGAGAAAGGAAGGTACTACTGCGAGATCACAAACGTGCTATTCTTTCGTTTAGCTTGGAATGACTCACTTTGGTTCAACCTTCTCTATCTCAAGCCGAATGACGGCTAAGAACAAGAATAACTACGTACACATGGGACCTGCCTCGCCCCATGAACATCTCTATTGATTTGACTCAAAATTAAATTAATTCAAATGACGATTCTACCCTTTTCTAATTTTGAGGTTTTTTTTTAATCCAACATTTCAAACGAGGATTGATAGGTGCTTCAAAAGCTTCCAAAAATATCTATTTAACAACTCCATTAATTATAAATAAATTTCAAATATTTATGTTAAATAAAGTGGAAGCTAGGCATATTGTAATATCATATATTAACTTTAAAAAAAATGGGTAATTTATAAATTCTTTCAATTATTTTTAATAATTATTATATCTATAGTCCCGAGAAAACTAATTTATAGCCTAAAGTTCGATTAAATCTAATCTCTCCAAATAGGATTCAAACCTACTACCAATCAGTTAATAGTCGACTACTCTACCACTGAGCTACTGAGGAACCATAGTCAATTAGGTTTCAGAGGGTTTAATTCTCGTTCTCAATTCATGACCAATATGAGCTCGAGGTTTCCTTCGTAACTCTCGGACTTCTTCGTAGTGGTTCCGTTCCATGTCTCATTTCATAGAGAACCTCAACGTGGATCTAATTAAATGGATTAATACGATAGTAATAATAAAAAGAAAGTAGTACCATTTTCTTTATCCTTATTCTCATTATTAATTTTTATTTTATTTTATATTATATTATATTATAGAGATATTTTGAAATTTCATTCTTAGGCATCCAAATGGCAGCATTTTGTGCATCCATGACTTTCTCTCTCTAATGCTTGACTTGGTTTCAGGTCAGGAGAGAGAAACTGTGTAATTACTTTCTTGCCCTTGTATTATTATTCTTGGTCAATCTTTGACTCTCCGACCATAAAAGTCATTTGGTGTTTACATCACTTTGTGAAATTATTTTGGTGAATATATGAGTTGTATGCAAAATTCTAGAGTTGTCCAAGGGCGAAATGGGAAATCCTAATTCCGTACCCGTCTCCTATTTCAATTTTTATTTCTACGAAATATATATATATATATAAAATATTTGTTTTAAAAACTTTTAATTAATAATTTAAAAATTTTAAAACATCTAATAAATTCAATAATATTTCATAAACAAAGATATAATATGATGTTCTGTATGATTTTTACGAACTCAAATTTATATATATATGCGTGCGTGTGTGATCCCGTCTTTGACCTAATTTAAGTAACGAGGATAAATCTCTTCCTTTCACTATTCCACCTTTAAATGAGAATTTTCACCCGTTTAGGACGAGTCTTCAATGGACATAAACTATTTGCATTCTCATCAATCAATTTGACCAATTTTTATCGGTTGAATCTGTTGGATGATGAAAGTCCCACATCAGCTAATTTAGGAAATGATCATGTGTTTATAAGTGATAAATACTAACTCGATTGATATGAGGCCTTTATGAGGCCTTTTGGGAAGCCCAAAGCAAAGCTATGAGAGCTTATGCTCAAAGTGGACAATATCATAGAAATCATATTATTTAACTTGAACAAAACGTAAACCAAACATCATTTTATTACCGAACACTTACGTTTTTACCAACTCGGTATAAAATACCTTCTAGAAGCCTTAGTCAACCCAATTTGATTTTCCCTTCTTACAAAATAAATAAATAACTTTTTAAAATTCAAAGTCTAATTTTGAATTCCAAAAATTAAAAAAAAAAAAATTAAAATTAAAAGTCAAATCTTTTAATCTCGATTTCACATAAATCCCCATTTCCCAATTTCAAACAAATATTCTTCTTCTTCAATGGAAATTCACTTCCAGTCGCCGGAGACCCACGGCGGAGCCGCTGTACCAGTGGTCAAAACAAGCAAATTTAAAGGCAAAACCAGAGGGAACAACGGCAACAAGTTCGTCGGAGTCCGGCAGCGGCCGTCGGGCAGATGGGTGGCGGAAATCAAAGACACGACAAAGAAAATCCGAATGTGGCTAGGAACATTCGAGACCGCCGAGGAAGCCGCTCGTGCCTACGATGAAGCCGCCTGTCTTCTCCGAGGTTCGAACACAAGAACTAATTTCTTCATCCCACAAATCTCCACTAATTCTCCAATCGCCTCTAGAATCCGCACCCTTTTAAACAGCAAAAAGTCCCTCGAAAATCCCGCCGCCGCCTCCGCCGCCGCCGTCCCTGCTCCAACAATTCAGGATGGTCGGATGTTGGACGGAGATTATAAACCAGACATGACGAATTGCTCGGAGAAAACAGAGATGGGTTCGTGTTGTTCTTCGGATTCTTGTCGATTTGTTGATGGGTTTTGGAATTCAGATGATTTGGAGTTTTGTGATTTTGAGAGGATGAAAGTTGAGAGGCAAATTTCAGGTTGTTTGTATGCTATGAATGGAGTTCATGAGTATATGGAGGCTGTTCATGAGGCCTCTGAATCCATTTGGGATCTTCCTCCGCTCGGCTCGTTGTTCTGTTAATTTGTACAACAATCCGAAAGGGTATACACGAGCTGGGTTGGATTGGATTGGGTGGGTGATCGAACAATTTGAATAGATGTTACAACCCGAATCAACCTTCTATTTTCTAGATTGAGTTGAATTGGATTGTCGAGTTGTTTTTTTTTTTTTTTAAATCCAATTTTGCATAGGGTTTAGTGAAAGAATAAACGGGTTTGGACTCTCTGTTAGGCCCTATTTTAATCCGTTGAAGGACCATAGAAGTTCGGGGGATGCAAGTCGAGATGGTGTGACAGCTTCTACACTTTGGTTTTGGAATATTCTTGAGAAAATAGACAAGTTTCCATTACAGATACGTTGGGAGATTGCTTGTTTGTTGATTCTTATTCAGCGAGTTGTTCCCTCGATTGTACTTTAATTAGAGATGTCCAGTGGGTGGAGCGAGATAGGGTCTTTCCGTCTTCGCCTCATATTTCAATCACAATTCTCTCGCACATTATTTTTATAGAAATTGTGACGGGAATTTTCCAAAACAAGATTCGCAAATTATTTATTTATAAAATTTTAAGCAGGGAGGGGCGAAGATTTGGCAAGAGTCGGAAGTGGGGACGGGGGACGAGGGACGGAGACGTGTATGGGATATAATTCTCGTCTCTGACCCCATTTAGTTAATAGAGAGAAATCTCTCTTCATTCCCTTCTCATTTTCTATTTGAATGTGAATTTCTTATCCGGTTCGAGGATGAGACATGAAATAATCCTCGTCTCGAGCCCCATTTAACTAATAGAGACCAACCTATCTCTATTCCCTTCCCATTTTCTATTTAAATGGGGACTCCTCACCCTGTCTCGGGATGGTCTCTCCAAGGGTTGTCTGCTCGGAGATTGGGAGAAAGAAAAACTAATCATTATTCTTACTCAAAAGGAGGTTTAATTCGGTCTGATCGAGAAAAGACTCACATATCTAAGAGCATTGAAGGTTGAAACCTCGAAAACAGATTTAATAATGCCACTTAGAAATCAAGAATCATAGAAGCCTTAACTGATGCCACTATGTTCGTCTTAACTTATCAGTATAAAAATGATCCATCTTGTCAGAAGTTTTAAATCGTTTAATCCCATTTTGACTTAGTAAATCCAATAGAGAAACGCCACCTCTTTATAAATACCGATACTCTTTACAACTAATTAGAGAATCGTTTCGTAATCATCTTTGATGGGTCCAACCCTTTTGTTTCATTTCATTACCCCAACCAACCCATATTATAAGCCTTTTAATATGGTTTGAAGTCACTAACCCACCTACCAACATGATTGTTGACTACGACTTAGAAGTCCAAAGGAAAGCCATAAGTGTTTATGCTCAAAGTGGACAATATCATACCATTGTGGAGAGTCGTGTTCGTCTAACATGGTATTAGAGCCATGCCCTAAACTTAATCGTGCCAATAGATTGGTAAATCCTCAAATGTTGAACAAAGAACTCCAAAAGAAAAGGAGTCGAGCCTCCTCGAAGGCAGTAAAAAATGACTAAGACTCCAAATGAGTCGTCTTTCGAGGAGAGGTGTTGGATGATGAAAGTTCCACATCGGCTAATTTAGGGAATGATCATGAGTTTATAATCAAAGAATACTCTCTTCATTAGTATGAGGTCTTTTTGGAAAGTCCAAAGCAAACCCATGAGAGCTTATGCTCAAAGTGTACAATATCATATCATTTGTTCATGGGTGGAGATGGGGATGGAGAATTATACTCTCTGTCCCGTTCCACTACTCCAATTTTTCGTTTAAACAGAGATTTTCCACCTCATTCAGAGTGAATCTACGCAGATCCCGACCTTAGGAAGGAAATGGGCACCTCTAATTCAAAAATGTGTAATGTAACATGTTTGAGTTAAGATTGATTTTTGTTGGACAACGTTAGAGTTAATTTTAATGGCGGTAATTTATTATTTATTTATTAATATAAATATAAATATGATAACAAATTAATTCTTATAATTTAAATAATTTTTTATGAATAAATTTATATAACAAGAAAGAATACTCGATTTTATTTAGTAGGGGTATACATTGAACTCAACCACTCGAACCAACCTAACCTAAATTATAAGGGTTGGGTTAGGCTAGATAGAATTTCAGGTTGGGTTGGATTGGTTTTTTAGGACCCAATCTGATCCAGCTTGAGTACAAGTACAATGTACAAAGGACTGGATCAACCCGACCTAATCCGATTACATTAAAAAAAGAAAAAAGATACTAAGTTGAGACCAGGCCCAACCTACAGTCTTCTGCCTTGGACAACAACCCAGCACGTATAGTATTTATAAGGCCAACCCGATTGCTTCTCGAGCCTCCTAGTAGAGTAAGTACACTACACAATACCTGCTTGTACTCTTCTTCCTTGCACAACACAGTGAGATTGTCCTCATAAGACATCAGTAAGTACTTCTTCCCAGTCAACAAAGACATGACATTTCCTACTTCCTTCTCGAGTACTTGTCATTGTCATTCGCCAGTCGTCTTGCATCGCCACTCTCGTCAGTTGCACTGGCTTCTACATCTTTTCCCTATTGCAAGTGATCATCTTTCTTTACTCACATAGTGATCCTCTTCCTTCCCTTTTTTTTCTTTTTTGTTTAGCTCAACCCGAACCCAATTTCGGATTGAGTTAAAATCTTCCGACAAAAAATAATTTAACCTAAATATTTGATATTTAATAAGAAAATAATAAAACATTCCTAGGCAAAGCTTTTTATATGCAATCAATAATGTATTAATTGACACACCTTAATTCAACAAGATTCTTATCAAAATCCCATCACAATCAATGAATCATAAGCCCAAAACGAATAAAGTTCTTCATTTTCCAATCAAATTCTTTCAAGAAATCACTCCACATTCATAGGAAGACATAAACAAAGCATAATCTCAATTGGGTTCCAATCCTTTCGGATATTTTAAGATTAATCAGCGAAGTCTCAGCTGGATGGATGTGTTCGAGGAGCGAGCTACTGTAATGGGTGATTTGGTTTGACTTTCTTCAAAATCGTGCCTTTATTTGGAACATTTGAAGAACAGAAACCCCCCAAAATAACCCATAAAACGGAGATCGAAACAACGCCGGTTGAATTTTCAACAAAACCCTCCACCGCTGCCGCCGCCGCTGCCACCGCTGCCACGGGCACCGTATGATCTAGATAAAGAAGATCCAAATATACCCCCTTTTTTTAGTAACATTACAAATCTTTAACCCCACTTTTTTGGGGCTGTTTGTCTGTTCTTTCACTTTTTCCTTTCGGATTTATCACGAGTTTTGTTTAATCTATAATACCCTCTTTGTTCTTCTTGTTCTTCGTGTTCTTCGTGTTCTTCGTGTGTTCTTCTCCAAACATGGCTGTTTTTTCCCTTTTTGTCTATGTTCTTGCCCTTTGTTCTTTAGGGTTTGTGTCCTCAAAATCCCTTTCCCGATCTTCATTTTGCCCTAAAGAATCTGATTTCTTTCTCTATGGTGTTCGATCTCAATGCCCTTTCTCTGAGATTTCCAGCTCGCCGTTACAGGTATGATTTTAGCTGTTATCTTCTTGGTTTTGTGTTGATTTTCCTGTTTTTTGTCGTGTTTTTTTTTTTTTCTTGTCGGAATTCCAACTTTTGTGGAGGCTGTTGATGTTTGTGAATCTTTGTTTGGATTCCCTTGTTGTTCTTATGTTTTTAGCTTTGGAAATCTTGGAGATTTGGGTGTTTGGTTTTCCATATTGATGAACATGATGAACATGAAGGTGAAGGGACATGAAGAAATCTATGCAGATTTGTTCTTTTCTCTTTTGATTGTGAAATTTTCAAGTGTTAACTGAAAATCAAATGGGATGGATTGATCTTGAATCGGTATGATTAGTGTTCTTTTAGCCCGAGAGTCGATCGAAATGACTAGAGTTTTTCATTCGAACTTTGAACAGATAAGGGTCGAGTTGGGTTGAATTTTGATTTCAATACAAAGACTTAATTTGATTTGAACGATTCGAGGTTTCTATTTCGAATTATGTATTTGAAGACGGGTTGAATTGGGTTAGATTAGGTTAGTTTAGGTTGTTCCATGAGTGTCGGAGTTCGCATATTTAAAGTGAATGAATATCAAATTTGGGGCATTCCCGTGTTTGTAGTCAATACAAAGACCTAATCTAATTTGAACGATTCGAGTTTCAATTTCGAATTATGTATTTGAAGACAGGTTAAGTTGGGTTAGGTTAGATTAGTTTAGGTTGTTCTACTTAGCGTCGGAGTTTGCATATTTAAAGTGAATGAATATCAAATTTGGGGCCTCCCCGTGCTCGTACTGAGGATGCACGTACCTTTGATCTCGATAAGAGGTTCGAATCTCTCACCTGCTTGAACTCGAAGAATCATTTTGCATGTAGTTTCGCCCGTTTTGAAACTATTTTGGGTAGCTTTTGTTTAGATCGAACTAAATGGGCAGTGCTGAGTGTCATATTACTAACATTTTGCTAAGAAGTTTGTGAACCCCTTTGCCTCATATTTGTTTCTTCTCATATTGATTTCTTTTTCCCTCTTCTGGTTTATAGGTTGATGGGAATTATATCGATGGGACGTTGACTAATTACGAGACGATCGGCTACACCTCCGTGCTCTTCTATGCTTCGTGGTGCCCGTTTTCTCTCCGTTTACGACACACATTTGAAGCTCTCAGTTTCATGTTTCCTCAAATCGAACACGTGCTGGTTGAGCAATCTTCTACGCTACCAAAGTAAGTAGTCTGTGACTTTCTTTCTCATTGTAAATTCTGTTCTTGTGCTCTGTTTTTCTGTGCTGAATGCATTCATCTCATTTCGATGAACGATTGTCATAATTGTGCTTGAGTCGTTTTGAAAAATTTGATGATAACTATGAGATCCCACATCGATTGGAGATGGGGACGAGTGCCTGCGAGGATGTTGGGTCCCAAAGGGGGGTGGATTGTGAGATCCCACATCCGTTGGAGAAGGGAACAAAACATTCTTTATAAGAGTGTAGAAACCTCTCCCTAGCATACACGTTTTGAAAACCTTGAGTGATGCCCGAAAAAGAAAGCCCAAAAAGGACAATATTTGCTAACAGTAAGCTTGGGTCATTACAAATGATATCAAAGCCAAACACTGGGCGGTGTGCTACCGAGGACACTGGGCCCTGAAGAGGGGTGGATTGTGAGATCCCACATAGATTGGAGAGGGAACGAGTGCCAGCAACGACGTTGGGCCCGACTTTTCCGAGTGTTATTTTCACACTATTATCTTCTTGACTCGTTTAAATAACATTATTAAGAAACCGGGGTTCAAAATTTTTCTTTAGCTAAGTTTTTGAAGATGCAATGTAAAAGTCTCTTGAATTTTCTTTTGCTCGACTCCTTGTAATAGCTCAGGGTTTCGAGCAATGAATTATAATAACTTGGCTTCACAGTATCTTTACTTAAACATTTACCTTTACATGTTATAGTGTACTCTCAAAATATGGAATCCACAGCTTTCCATCTATATTGCTGGTGAACGGTACATCACGTGTTCGATATCACGGTCAAAAAGATATACTTTCCCTTGTTCGTTTTTATAGCCGAATAACAGGTAAGGTTCTCGTGTTTTCATATATGGTGGGTGTGTGTGCTCTTGCTAAAGCGAGTCATGTTTGGTTATGTCAGGATTAAAACCGATACCGTACTATAGCGACCGTGACTTAGCTACAATAGAGAGAATTGGAAAGCCAGTTATCCAACGACAACATATCGAAGACGAACCGTTATTGATATTCTCTTTCGTTTTCATCTGTCTCCGTCTAGCAATCTATAAATTACCACATTTGTTGTATCACTTAAACAATCTATGCAGATCTTACATACCCCACCTGAACTTGGAAATATTTGGCGAAACTCGACAACTAATAGGACGCATCCTTCACATGCTCGATATTAGAAGGGCGTGGGCCAAGCTAAGGCTATACAAGACGAAGAACTTCCACAAGGGAGCAAGGAACGCTCGTGTTTGGGCATCGTCTTTGGCATCTGTCTCGTTGGGTGAATCCTCGTCTTCGAGATCGACATAAGTTCACCCAAAACCTTGTAAAAACAAAAAAAAAAAAAACGAAACTTTTGATGTTAGAATCGTCTTACTCTCTTGTCAAACACGTATTTTTCTTGCAATTAGAGGTAGTAGAGTGTAGTGGGTAGGCTATTTTGCCTCCTCTTGTGAAGGCATGTACAAATTATCTATTATTATATGGTATGATTACACATTACACACGATCGAAACATGTCTAAATCGTCTAAATCCAAGTTAGCTACTTTGTTTGTTAAATGACGGGTCAGTTCATAGTCAGTCGGATCATAACAATATCGTTGTCGAAATCGGTCCCATTGTTATCGGTCCCATTGTTTAGAAAGCTTATGAATGTGACTGAAGATATTTTGTGTACAAGAGGCCAAATGCCAAAAGCTTAATCAAGTAGTGTTTGTATTTTGGGAGCTTTGACTTTGCGACCATTGCCATTAAATTTTGTTGCAATTACAAGCGGGTTTGTTAACAGATACGTTGTTAGGTGCTCCGTTTTATTTTTCCATTGAGGCCGAACCTAAACCTGTGCTCGAGAGATAGCTGTCCATATACTGATTAATTAAAATGTTTTTTTTTTAATTTTTTTAAAAGATATTTATAAATATATATTTTTATTCTTTTCCACATGATCCACATAATTTTTTTTATTATTATTATTTTTGGATTCACGGGATTTATCCAATTTTCTCGATCATGTGGAATATCATTGATAACTAGAAATCCGTATTTCTTTTTCAGTGCAAGACAGGAAACCTCCTTTTGTCATCCCTGCAGCTTTCTTTTGTATTGAACGCATGACCTAAGACCTGAAAATCATCGCCTATGTTCACACCCCTCTTTCTTTGAATCAGGCTAGTAAAGAATGCCCGCCAAGTTCAGATAAGGAAATGCTTCCCCCAACCATTAAAGGCTCGACAAAGGGAGGGGAAGGAAAATGCTTTCAGAGATCGAGATTGGATTTCTTTTTCATCAGGGAACGAAATATTAACAAACTCAAATTTACGGGAAATATGAAAGTTTGAAAATACTAAAAATGATTAATAATGGAGTAAATTTGGGAATTATTATTATTTTAAATGAAAGTAAGAACAATTCAAAGGGTGTTTAGTGATTTAAAATGTGTTTCCCATTAAATTTAGAAGTTATTCAAATTGACTTAGTAATATAATATATGGACAAACAATAGACCTTTTTTATTTTATTTTATTTTATTTTATTTTATTTATTTATTTATTTTTGTTGCACAAGTAACCCATAGAAATAACCATAGTCATAACTAAACATTTATTAATAAATTTGTAATAATAAATATTATAAAATTTACGTAATTATTTTAGAATTATAATATGTTAGCCACAGACCTTACCACATCAATAATTAACATACAACATGTTGCAATTATTTTTATAATTACATTTTTGAAAAAAAAATATATATAAGACATCAATTTTTAAATTTAAGAAATAAGCTTATAACAAAAAAAACTATATTTAAAAAGAAAAATGTAAAAAAGAGGAGAAAGAGTGGGGAAAGAGAAAAGATTTTTCTTGTTAGCCAAATAGAGGCGAGATTCATTTATATAAAAAAGAGGAAAAAAATTCATTGGGCTCATGACCAGTTGACTGACTCTAATATCATTTGTAACAACAGCTCAAGGACACCCGACACCCACATTGTCTAGTGACTGACTCTGATACCATCTACAACAGCTCAAAGACACCCGCATTGTCTAGTGACTAACTCTGATATCATCTATAACAGCTCAAGGACACCTGCATTGTCTAGTGACTAACTCTGATATCATCTATAACAGCTCAAGGACACCCGCATTGTCTAGTGAGTAACTCTGATATCATCTATAACAACTCATGGACACTCACATTGTCTAGTGACTGACTCTGATATCATCTAATCAGCTCAAGGACATCCGCATTGTCTAGTGACTGACTCTAATATCATCTATAACAGCTCAAGCCACACCCTCCAGTGACTGACAACATCTATAACAGCTCAAGCACATTCGTATCATTGGAGACTAACTTTGATATTATCTATAACAGCTCAAAAACAACGCTAGTAGATATTATCTACTTTAGCCCATTACATATCATCGTCCGCCTCACAACGGAGAGAGTTCTTGCTAAATCCCGGTAGAGAATCAATCTTACCTTGCTCTAACCAATAAGCGAAATTTTTTTAGGGAATTAAGTTAAAATAGGAAGCAAAGAAGCACGAACACCATTTCCAAACTCATCCCATTGACGTTTCTAATTTCAAAAGTTTAAAAACCAAATAAAAAATTCAATACTAAATATAGAGGTAACCTAAAAAAACTATTAAACTATCAAAGGTAGTGTAAAGAGAAGAGATAAAAGAATAAAAGAGAGAAGAAAAAAAGCAATCAATAAAGGTAATGTGAATGAGAAGATTCTTAGGCCTTAGCCTTAGAGCTATGGACAGCTGCATTTACACAAAACCTCCAACTTTCCTCTTCCTTGTCATAAAAAATTATATTCAATAAAAAAAAAGTGATTGAAACTGAAACTTATCTATTTTGCTTATGGTTTCTAGACAATCCCAGCAAGCAACCGACACCCTTTTTTAATTGTTTTGGCTCCATTCCTCTGAGGCTGTGGCTTCTTAGAATCACCTCTTCTCAAAATTCACCTCCAATGGTCAACAATTCATCTTTCTTCCTCTGAATTGAATCAAAAATATATTCACAAATGAAGAACATAAGAAGCTAGAATCCAAGAAGGTTTATCATTTGAGTTCTTGGTGGGTCCCTAACTCACCCATCAACCCTTTTGTCATTACTATTTGGGAGAAATAAAAGGGATAAGCACTCAAAGCAATATCAAGTTCTTTGCTTTTGGCAGTCCCCTGTCCAAGAGCTACAAGACACCGGAGGCTTTGAAATTTTGATTCTTCTTCCGTGTAAACTCCCCCCCCCTGTTGTGGAAGGAAGAGAAGAAACAAAAAGAAAAAATGGATCTCCATGACTGGGAAATCCTATCTGATGATGGGTTGCTTGATTACAAAGATGATCGGAAGACGAAGATCGTCTCGGCCAACAGAAGTTCGGCTTCTGATGCCAATATTGTGTTCGACATGAACTACTTCCTGTGCCCATCAATGGATTCTAAGCATATCACCCAACCGCCAAGGAGTTCTTCAGGGTTCTTGCCTAAACAGCCGATTCCTGTTCATATTCAACTGGACTCCCCAATTATCAAAGTCCCAGATGATTTAATGGCACTGAGAGAAAAAGACAAGGAGCCCATGGTGATCGGTGTTGTGCCATCATCCATGAGTGAGAAGGATCAGAAAGGAGGTGTGGAAGCCACCGATCAAGATCCTGTTACTCAAGTTTTCTTCAAGAAAATGAAGGAAAATGAATTCGTCGACATGAAAATAGACTCACCCAGATCTAGTAACAAGGGAACAAAGTCTCAAATTGATGTTGGGCATTATCAATTTGATGATGGGGGCGAGGGTACAGAGAACAACATGACCAACTCGCCCAGAATGAATTTGATGAGCCAGAAAAGCAACAAAGACGAGATGAATTGGGATGGATCCAACGGTGGGCTAAACATATTCAAGTGGAGCTTAAATGGGATTGGTGCCATTTGCTCCTTCGGTGTTGCAGCTGCCACTATTTGTATTCTGTTTCATGGAGGCAGCCAACATAAGCTAAGAATCCAGATCTATACCCATGATAAGGTCCGCAATTCAAAACTTCTATGAAACTTTTACCTCACACAGTAATAGAATAAGCAAAATTTTCTTAGGAATTTCAGTGAAAATGTTATCCCATAAACTGCAGAAGAGCTTATTTCATTGCATTTGATTGCAGAAATTAAAGCAGGCAGTTCAGCAGGCTACTAGATTAAATGAAGCGATCACAGCAACAAGAGGACGTCCACAGATATGGGCTCACATAACCTGTGGTGGCCACTACGATGGGCTCTAAGGAATCCAAGAGTTCAGAGTCTTTCCTCAAGGAAGAGTCAAGACCTAGTTCTATCAATTTATTCAAAGTTAAACATGTCTGTACATAAAGATTATACCTTTTAAGAACAAAAAATAGTTTAGGAATGCTACTTGGATGAAATTGGATGATTTCCTACTGTGTCTGAAAATACTGAGTGTTGTTCAACTAAGAACTTTACGGGCTTGTATGGTTTTGTTGTGTCTTCCATTATGGTCATTCTGGAAAAGTAGTACAATATTTATTGCTTAGAACACCATTTTAGTCCATATACAGTGATTCCTGTAAACACGGTTTATAACTTTTGTACTACTATAATAAATGTGCCTTGAATCTGAGTTTACCATAAAAATTCTCTGAAATCCTTTGTTTCCTGACGATCTCAGCAGGAAAAACCACAATCGTAGGACCAATTTCCAGTATTTAAAGCATCAATTTCTCATACAGAGACCGGAGATTTCTTGAATATAAGAAAACTTGCCCTGGGAAAGAAAATTGAGTTATGACCGAGTTTGAGTTTAGGTATATGGGCAAGAAAGATGTTGCTACTGTTACCCATTTACTCATCTTGGTTATGAGTCGTCGAGGGGCAAGAATCCCGTACAACCAATAATACTGAACCACTGAGGTGAAATGCTAGGCAAAATATTGGAATTGAATTGAGAGACTGACCCACTGAACAATAGAGCAAGAAAAATCTAAAAGAGTCCTCTCTCTATTCATTTTTCTAGATATGAATAGGGAACAATAATACTAAATACATCAGATCAAATAATTCAAGAAATCTGGAATACAATGGAAGGGAAAGAGATTCATGAATTATGACCCACTTCAAATAGTGAAAGATCCGTGGTGGGTTTTGAACCAGTCACAAAATATCTAACCAAGACTACAACTTGACAACATAACAAAGCTTGGCCAATTATATTGCTGACGAAACTCCAATGTATCAAACAACGCAAACCATTTACGTAATCAACTCCATATATCACAATCATATACGCAAAGACTATCAAATTCTTAGGACAAATCCAACTACAGAATACCATTATCACTAATCTACAAAGCTTTATTTAATCACTATTCGGTTTTAAGCATTCGCAACAGATAGATTACATTCACCTAAAAAAAAAAAAAAGAACATCCAATTCAGATAGCTTAGATTCGCAAAAAGCTAAGAGAATTCACATCAAATTCGTTACCAAAAGAGCTAAAAAGACGCAGATTCAAAAGATATTGGGGTAGGAAGAGATATGTCCGAAGCTATCTAGGAGAGGAACGAAAGAAAAAGCGTTCGACTCCCTCAAACAGATTCGGAAACGGAATAATATTAATTCCGATCGATTGATGTAAGCCTTTGTCTGAACCAGACGGTGTTGATAATAATTCGCACCTTCTAGTTATTCGAAGGCTGATTTGATGAAACGGAATCCATTTCCATTATCATTTTCTCTCCCAAAACGAAGAAGCGAAAACCATTAGTAAAATTAGAAGAATGATCTTGCAGAAACAGGCGACGAACACAAAATGTGAGAGAAAAACAGAGAGAATTAATTCATTGCTAAGAAATTTTGCAGTGAATCCACGATGTGTATGAACGGGGGCGGGACACGATGTGTATGAACGGGGGCGGGAACAATTTAATGGCGACACGTTTGGTTTAGGGTTTCTATGTATGGTCCGATTTGGGCTTTTCGAATCGGGTCTGGATCCTAGATGGGCTGGGCCGGGCCTTAGTCTAGAAAGTTCGCAACCTATGAAATTACTATATTACCCTTCTATAGAAAATTCATCATAGTAATTTGGAGTAAAATGGAATGTTTATTCCTAAACTTTTGGGTAACAATTTTAATCATAAATTTTTTTAAAAAAATTACAATTTGAACTCTCCTAATCAAAGCTCATGTAGGTCAGTATATGTATTTGAAAAGTAGTATGTAAATATACTTCGGAAAGGAAATGAAAGAATTTGGAGCAATTAATGAAGAAAATATTGAAGAATCAAAAGTGGCTCTAATTTACGGTCAGATGAATGGACTCTCGGGAGCTCGTAGGAGAGTTGGTTTAACAGCATAAACTATCGTGCAATATTTTCGACTATTTAACAACGATATCTTCTATTTCTTTCAAGCAGGATCTGTCGTATTCCCGTTACTAGGTAGAATGTCTTTGTATGTGGAAGTTGAAGTCGACTCTTAGTACCGAAATGAGTTCATACAGTAAAAAGTTACTTTTATAAAGAAGGGTCCATAACTTCTAAATCCAAACAGATTTAAACTATCCCAGAATCTTGAGTTTAAAGTAGCGTAAATTCAAATATAACATATGAATTTTTCGGTAGGCTAATATCTATTTTAAGGTAAGTAAATTAATAAAATTAAATTAGATTTAATAAAAATTAAAATTTTAAAGTGAAAATTGAGAAGGGTAAAAATTGAAAATTACCATAGTAATAATGATAGTAATGAATGGAAGTTAAATTTCTCATCCTGAAGTATTATAAATTAAAGGCTTTTATAAAATGTTTATCACTTTTTTAAAAAGTATTAATCCTATGAATTTTTTTAGAAAATATTATCCTATGGCTCTAGTGGATGGTATGAAGCTACTTTATTTTATTTTATTGGTAAAATAAAATATATTCTTAAATTTTAAAGTTTGAATAATACTTGTATACAAAATATGAAAAAAAAAATTTAAAAATTAAAAATTAATTTTAAATGGAAACCATTATTAAAAATATCTACGTATTCAATAAATTTCAAAAGTAACTCTCGATTTAAAAAAAAAAAACTTAAAAAATATCTTAATTTTTTAAATTAAATTAAGCAGGAACCATTAATACCACATTTCAAAAATACGTATAAAATTTAAAAAATAACATTAAAAAATATAGAAATAATCTATAAAATATCTATTGACAATAAGAATTTTTAATTTATTAAAATTTAAATAAAAATATATTTTTGAATTTCTTAAAAGACAACGTATTTTTATTAATTTAGTCTATTATATATTATAATTATTATTTTTTATTATGAAATATATCATAATTGTTAAATTATAGAATTGACGTAGACTTTTGATACATTAAGCTATTGCCGTACCTATAATTATATCATATGCTGATTAAGATAGATATTGATTAGCTATAATTAATTATTAACAACTGGTAATGCATTTTTATTATGTTGAATATGTATATATTCATATAAATTATACCCATAAAAATGTCCCCATAGATTGTATGATTTATAATTTTTACTGAACTTAATATTTAAAAAAAAAAAATAACAGATATATTAGAATAAAATTAAAAATTAGGAATCCATTCAACAAAAAAAAAAAATAATAATAAATAAATAATAATTTATATATAAATTATCAATAAAATTGTCAAGAACTTATTCCGACACAAGATCAAAAAATTTAAAAATTTAAGAGGTTTTTGAAAGTTTTAATGATCTAAATAAGTATTAATCTCAAAATTCAGATACTAGATAGACATAAGACACTTTTGAAATGGTAAGAACAATTAAACACTTCTAAAAGTTTACGAACCAAATAAATTTAATCTCAAAATTCAAATACTAAACTTATAATCATGCACAAAATTGAGACACTTTCAAAAGTATAGGATCAATTACACACTTTTGAAAGTTCATGAATCAAAGAAACATTAATCTCATAATTCAGGTACTAAACTTATAATGTATGCAAAGTTTATGAGCATTTTCTCCCTCTCGAGGTAGAATAAATTCCCCAAAACAATTCAATTCGTACCGAGATTTTAAGATGACTCCAATAATCATGAACTTTGAAGTTGAATATAAGAAAAAACACAAGTAGATGATTAAAGAATAACTAGTGATGCAAAGATAGCACTCTCTAAACAACTTGATATAATAATATCTCAATAACTAGAATGAAAATGCATGCAGCCTCATGGTTTGAATTTGACATATTCAAGTTTATTCAACTTTAATAAAGTAAACCGGACCGAATCCCAAATTTCAAAATAGATTCGTTTATTTTAAACTTTACATTTAAGTCTTTAAAAATGTTTAATAAATCTCGATACATTTCAAAAAATGTTAAAAGTTTACTAATTAATTGATATCAAATTAACTTTTTGTCGAATGAAACAATAAATTTTTAATTTGCATATCTTGAGTATAACATGTCAACAATATGTTAGACCAAAAATAAAAAAAATCATATAAAACTAAGTTTAGAGACTTATAAGATATAAAATTAAAACTTAAACACTTAAGTTTTGAAATTCAACCTAATCAGTTTTGAAAGCCAAATATCTTTCAATTAATCTAATTGCTCAACTTTAAATCAGAACTCAAATTTGAGTAAAAAAGGTGTATCAAACAAATGACTGAACAAAAAAAAAAAAGGGGGCTGGAGAATCCTTACATGTTTATCACGTTTGATGATCATCATGGCCCCTCAACAAATCTACCCTGCCATTTCATTCACAAAAAATAAAGTGAATTTACAGGTGATCATTTAAATTTGTAATCAAATTCTGCATGTATGGGTTGTTTTTCAGATGCCATGTATAACTTAAAACTACTTTATGAGAGGTATTGTTAAGGCTTAAAGATGTCAAGAGAAAGCTCAGAAAAGTTGTGACAAGTTTAATATAAGCATTAGACAGAGAACGCATAGTGGACATCTTCCTGTGACGATGGTTAAGCTTGAGGCTTAGCAGCTTCTAGCATTTCCACCACAAGAGTCTTTACATCCCTAAAAATGTGGAATAAAATAAAGTTAGTAGAAATGCTTAAGTATTCATAACGATGAGAAGTGCACGAAAATTTTCAAATAACAATCCTATTATATCCACAAATAATCAAGCCTTGTTGATAACGATTTCATTTTTTATCTTATAATTTTGAAATTTATGTTTGTTTCTTCCTAATTTCTGGACTATGATTTTCACTTTTGTTGAAGAAACACTTGAATTCTTCGGTAAATCTTAAAACAAAAACCAAATAGCTAACTGTGTTTAGTTCTTGAAAACACAGGTAAAAAGGGGGTAACAAAACAAAAAAAAACTTATCAATGAGTGGTTATAAACTTAATTCTTAAAAACCCAAAACAAAATAGTTAACAAATGGTGCCTTAGAAGTCAAGATAAACCTTCACAACATGACCAGGACTTCAAGGGAAAAGATGATATCATTACAAAATACAAGAATGGTAAAAATAAATAAATAAATAAAAAAGAAAGTCAAAATATAGATGAAAAGATATATCTCTACACAAAAGTGCACTCTCGATTTAGATATTTAAGATTTAGTCATAATTTATTGATTCAACAACCATTGATTGCATTACCGTTCTCAGAAACTTATGCTCTTCATAATGTTTCTTCCAGCATATTGTATGTATTTTGTAATTATAGCCTTTTATGCAATGTGACATGGACAAAGAAATTCCATATATTGATACAATGCTCACAACCATTAAATCAACACAAAACATATCCAATTTCCTAATGGGTGAGCCAATTCCAACTTCAAAATTTTAATTTCACCAAATGAAAGTCTGAACTTGAATACATGGTGAAACTAAAACCTTAGTTGAATTTTATCCTTGTATATGGCTAGATGATAGGATTCTCGTAATCTGTGACTGCCAAGGTGCTAGTATTATGGTTGTGAACAAGAATTGTGCCTTCATTTTATTATATTAGGTATGGCCATTATGGCGCTAATTGGTTGTTTGATTTTTAGTTAATTTTCTAACTTGGCCTTGAGGAGGCTTTCAATTTCTTAATTGAGTTCAGGATTTAACCAGATAAAATTGTAAGGAAATTGAATCATCCCTAAAGTTTAAGGAACAATTATTTCTATAGAAGCAATTGATCTAAAAAATAGTAAATTCAAGGATGCAGAGAACCATACAACTGCACAAAAAAGCACGCAACAGACAACTTTTTGCCTCAGCACTGACAATTCAAGGATAAGAAGTCTCACTTTCTATTTTCTGCTCGTCTTGGAAACGGTATGCGAAGCTTAAATGAACTCCCCTGATAACCAGCCTAAATGAACAAAAGATGAAATCATACAAGCAAAACAGGATATGGCCTTTAGAAACTAGAACTGAAATCAAAACACCTTCTGTTGAAATATATTATCGGCAAATATTGATTTAATATAGCTCGATAGATTTGACACAATTCGATAAATATAACAAAGCATAAAGGCCAGAATTCCTGCGTCCAATTATCTATATTGTCATTTCTTCCAGTCAAGATTAATGGTCCACAATATCATGTTCTGCTATATTTTAGCAAATGATCAGAGAACTTGAAGGATAATATCTTTTTGTGAAACAATACAAAGCAAAAAGGTTTAAAAATAACTTAATTTGTAGCATCAATACCTCAACATTAAAACCAAGGCTATCCAAATCCAGCATGATAGCAGAATCAACCTGCAGATGGAATAGTAGTACGGTCTCATATGGATAGTTCATCATCACATGTACACATTAATTATATACTGCAAACACATCAGAACAAGAACATGGTGGGACGTCGTCTCTTTCTTTCTCTCTTTCCCTTAGAAAACTATATTTTGTCCTCCTATGAACTCTAAAAAGAGAAGAAAATCATTACTTATTTTGTAGCTACGCTTCTCTTACTAAAAATTGAAACGTCTAAAACCTTAAAACTGATATACAAGTATATTGGGGTCTAACACCTTACTAAAATTGAAACGTCTAAAACCTTGGTAATTTGGGGTCTAACATTACTCTAGAGTGCTAAGTCTATTTTAGACCCAGTCACCAACCCCTGATCACACAGTCTAGAATCTGATAAAAAAATTAAACTAACCAAATATTACATCGTCCCAATAAAGGTGAATTAAACAAAAACATATATCTAGATCATATTAATTTTACCGGAATAGATGTCCAGTGTCTCACAATGTTCTTTGTATCTTCAGCATGATCCCTATTCATGTGAGACTAAAAAAAAAATACAGAATCTGATTCAGAAAATATGTAATTCGAAGCTAAAAACTTGAGTAACAAGCAAGATCTTGAGATGATGCTATCACCGTTACAGGCTTTGAAAATTGAGCTACCGGATCAACTCGTGCTGCCTTGTACTCTTCATCGCTTAGTTCTTGGATTAAAAAGGTGGAAAAGTTAGATGTCAGTGTGACAAGAACACGACTTATATAAAGCAATAAGACATTTAGGAGTTAAGCACCGAGTGAAACCAGCTTCAAGTTCTCTTCTTTGTTTTGAATGAAAAATATATGCCAAAGCTTTATGTGCAAAACAAATTAAAAAGGGAAGACTATGTACACAAACCTCCTGAACGCAAAGAAGCTGTTGCGACTCCAGTCACATATCGTATTATTTTTGGTTTGATGTACACAAATTGGAAGTCGCCAAAGTCAACCTTAACATAGGTTGGAAGTAATTTATTCATCTTTTACGTGTAAACTGGAAGAAACATCTGATGAAAAACATAAGTATTCTGGATATTAGTATTAGCTACCCAAAATGCATTTGGATGTTTGGACAAATATGCAGCACGAACAGCAGGTCTATCTTCTTCAGGAACCTAAACAGTGAACAAGAACATTATTTAGATCGACATGCCATAGCATCAACCAAAAATAACACTTATCTGTAAGACACAAGAACAAGATACATATCTATGCGTTTCTGTTGATAGTATGCAATTGAAAGAAGAAATAAATGGTAACTATATATCTTACAGCCACAGCATCACCATGAAGAGTGACCACTAAAGTTCCCCTATCCTCGGGTTCTTTTGCTACAAGCAACGAGCACTTTGAATTAGTAGCCAAGTTCTGCACAGAAAAGAAAGACCAAATTTATAACAATTAACGATTACTTAAACACATAAAATCCAATTTAGTATATGAATTGCACATAATACCTAACTTCTCAATGGGTGCATAAGGATGAATGATACCTTAGCGTGCTCTGCTAGGCTGCTCACAGCAAGTATAGGAGTACCATCAGCATCGCATGCAAAATCAACAAAAGATCCAGACGGATAACCTTCAAATCTCTGCACAGGAGCAGACCTTATTACTTAGGAATAAGAAGCCAATCAAATGTAAGTGACTAAAAAGAAATCAGATTTCAATGTACGCTAGGAGTGTGAGTTTTCTGTGATAAACAGTTATGCAGCAAATTCCAATGGCGATAACAGGACTAAACATCAAAAGAGAGTGAAAACCCGGGAAAAGGTGGAGAGCATGCCGCGCACTCTCTGATCCATTAGTGTTCGAATCTCTTCAGCTGGTGAAAGCGAAAGCCGAGCCGCTTTTTCCTAAAACATTGATTCACATTCAGCAAGAACTTGATAAATACACAAAACACATCAAACAACTCTATTCAATCATAAAATCTCGAGAATGAAAATATAATCATAACCAAACTACCAGAGCGCCAATCTTTGCACTAACGAAACATAATATCAAGAGAAATAAATACCTGATGAGCTTGAATCAACTTCGAGACATCAATTTCTTCGCTGTTAGCATCGCCAGACGCTACAATCTAATCATAGAAAAAGAAAAGAGTAAAAGACAGTAAATATCTTTCCTAAGTTTCAAAATTGTTCCCGCACAAATGAAATCAACAAGAAACTAGAAATTAAACATCGAATCGATGGCTGCAAAAAAGGAGATAAAGAGGTACCTGAGAAGTGGACTCCGTTGACGCAGCCATGGAAAATGAAAGACGAAGACGAGGATTGAAAGAGGAGATCAAAGAACGGGGAAAGTGAGAGGCGATTCGGCCATTTAACGCAGTGCGAGAACAAAATCTGAGGGTTAAGGAATGCGGCACCACAGTCGCCATTGTTCACGGTACTCCCTCGCCGGCCGGCCGGCCAGCTAAACCAACTCCACGCGGCTCTTGATTTTCGAAATAAAAGATTTACCAAATAAAAGAAAATAAATTTGTTCGCCTTTTTATTTTTTGCAAAAATATATTTATTGGAAAAACTTTTCAATTTTTTTTTATTGGTTAAATATTTATTTGAATATTTTTTCTCAAATAATAATGGAGTTAATTTATTTATTGAAATAAAATAAATCAGATGCATTTTTAAACCCGATAATATGATTGTATAGAAGTATCTTTTAAATTTTCATATACTTTAAGATGCAAATTTTTAGCGTTTAGTGATGTCTGTCGTCAGTATGTGTACGGAAAGTCGGATCATTCCCGAGCCAATTGACTAAAAAATACATGAAATATTCAAAATAAAGTAAGGACGGGAAGCAGTAAACAAAGGGAAAAAAATGAAGTTCCCGACTACTTCTTAGTTGTGAAATTATCGAAGTAGGGAAAGGACCATAGGTAGACCACAAGTCATCTTCGCGTCGTGATATCACTAGGGCTAGACTGACCACCCCCTTAATTGATCGGTAACAGTAAATAGACTACACAATGCATAATAGTAGATTAGAGTTAGGATCAGAATCAAAACACATTCATACAAATTACCGTTAAGTAAAGCAACATTTAACCTTAACATTGAGCTCAAAGGTTCAGCAAACTAGATAAGACAGTCTTAAGTACATTTTACAGACTTGGGTTAAAGAAAAGTTAGAGCAGTATGTTCATACTCATTCTTACTACAATTATTTTTCAGATGGTAGCAGAGCTATGTGATTATTATGATGACGAACTCAAACTGTGAGGAATTAGAGCCGTATGAATAGATCCAAAGTTACGTTGCGTATAGTTATACTTTTTATGACACAGTTTTGTCAAGATGTTGACTTTTGCACGTTTCTAAAAAAAACTTTTAAATGTCATTAGTATGTTATAATAAAGACACGGGTTTGTCTCGGTCAATCGATTCGACCGAACCGAATGACGAACTATTAGACTAAACCTAATGAACTATTAGGTAATTGATTCGAGAGTTTGTTTGGACTTTTCATTTTATTTATTTATTTATATATGGCTAACATATATAAAATTTCAAAAAATTTAATAATATTCTTAAATTAAAAAAAAAAAAAAAAAATCTCCGTCAATTTTTTTTAAGAATATTTTGAAAATTTAAAAGTATATATTTTTTAAAATAAATATTAATAATGCTCAAAATTGGGCAACGGAGATAAATTTAGGCGTTGAACGCCGTCGTTTCATGCCGTGATTTCAGGTCGAGCTCGAGGCTTTGGGTTTGAACGATAACCGAAGATCGAGGAGACGAAATTTACAGTCCTCACAGCTGAGAGAGAAGTGTGCACTCCATAATCGCATTTGACTCTTCAATTTGATTTCTATCAATGGAGGAGCTGAGATCTGCAATGGAAGAACATATGGATCAAATGGCGGATCTGGTTCAGAAACTTTCCTCCGAACTCCGATCTGGTCTTCGTCCAGCTGTTGATAATTTTATCGGTTTCTTCCACGCCATTGACTGGAAGGTAAAATTCAATCAAAATCCGTTCAGAACTCTCATTGGATCTGATGTGTGAATTTAAATATTATTTTTATGTATTTTTTTGTTTAATTTTGCAGGAACCTTGGTTGATGGGGTTATTAGGTTTTCATGGATTGTTGCTGATAATTACCATCTTTACCAGGAAGCACACGAACTTTCAGATGTTCTTGTTTCTTCTTGCACGTATGATTTTTTCTTTTATTTGCTCATTATTCATTTATATCTTTCTGAAATGTATTAGCATTGTTCATGGATGTGCAATATTGAGATGTTTGATTGCTGTTCATATTGCATCCACTGTACTGGCAAAATAGTGAGTTCTAGTCTAGGAATCTAGGTTTGAAAACTTCACTACGCTCAGATATGAATTCTGAGGTTCAAATATCCTTTTGCAAATGATTTGCTGCATCAAGGCTGCAATCATAGATAATTACATTTGCAGATTGGAATTAAAGTCGGTGATCGATGTTTATGATTTCCAACCATAAAGCTTTTTTGATGCTTGTATTCATGACTGTGGATACAATCCATATTCACATTTTGCATGTTGATGTGTACGTATTCATGTATTTCTTAATTGCTGGTCCTTTCATTCTAGGAGAATACCCTTTTTGCATTTGTAACGGCTCAAACCCACCACTTGCAGATGTTATCCTCTTTGGGTTTTTCCTTTCGAGATTTCTCTCAAGGTTTTTAAAATGCGTATGCTAGGGAGAGGTTTCCACATCCTTATAAAAAAATGCTTCATTCTCCTCTCAACCAAAGTGGGATCTCACAATCCACCCCCCTTCGGGGCCCAACGTCTTCGCTACCACTCGTTCCCTTCTCCAATCGATGTGGGACTCCCTAATCCACCCCCCTTCAGGGCCCAACGTCCTTGCTGGCACATCGCCTCGTGTCCACCCCCTTCAGGGTTCAGCTTCCTCGCTGGCATATCATTTGGTGTACACCCCCTTTGGGGCTCAACATCCTCGCCGGCACACCGCCCGATGTCTGGCTCTGATGCCATTTGTAACGTCCCAAACCCATTGCAAGCAAAGATTGTCCTAAAAAATGTTCATTTTCTTTTTATTGTGAGATCCCACATTGGTTGGGGAGGAGAACGAAACATTATTTATAAGGGTGTGGAAACTTCTCCCTAGCAGACACGTTTTAAAAAACGTTGAGAGAAAGCTTGAAAGGGAAATTCCAAAAATAGTAATATCTGCTAGCAGTGGGTTTAGGCTGTTATTGCATTCTACAAAAACCCTTAAAACCCCTTTCATGTTTGTTATACATTTTCCTATGTTCACAATCATATTTTGCAAGTTTATATGCACATGTTTTTTCATAGATTTCTCGGTGGGTTTAGGCTATTATAGCATTCTACAAAAACCCTTAAAAACCCTTTCATGTTTGTTATACATTTTTCTATGTTCACAATCATATTTTGCAAGTCTATATGCACATTTTTTTTCATGGATTTCTCGGTGGGTTTAGGCTATTACAGCATTCTACAAAAACCCTTTCATGTTTGTTGTACATTTTCCTATGTTCACAATCATATTTTGCAAGTCTATATGCACATTTTTTTTCATGGATTTCTCAACTCCAATTGTTCTTCATTTCAAGTACAAGAAATCCTTATTTGGAGTACTTACATACTTGTATTTGTAATGCAGTAGCTGGTGTATATTTTGCTGAAAGAATCAATAGAATCTTGAGCAAAAACTGGAAGAATTTTGCCACCCAGAACTATTTTGATCCAAATGGAGTTTTCCTTTCAACACTCTGGTCTGGGCCACTGCTCGTAATTTCAATGATAATTCTGGCAAGTACTCGTTATTACTTCTTTTCCTCATGTCCCGGATGAACAACCCCATACTATCCAATTGCCCCATCACATTGAAGGATTATTTCTCTGTCATTTGTTTATTGTCTAGTTTTCCACGTCAAGAACACTTAACTGAACTCTCATTTCTGTATGGCAGATAAACACACTTTTTACCTTGTGCTATCTCGTAGTCAGGTGGAAAAGAGCTGAGCTTCGAAATCGAGCACGACTTTCACAGACTAAAGAAGACTAATCCCAAAGGTGAAGCTTTTTTAGCTTTGATATCTTTTGCTGGTAGTTTGTAGCTGTGTATCTTATCCTTCTCAGAGATCGTTGGACCGATGCGAGTACAATGCGAAGAGTGGTTTTGTTTATTCCCTTTTTCTTATTTATTGAATAGTCTCCATAGATATTATTGCGATCAACTTTATACAACATTCACTCACTTTTTTGTGTATCTGGAATTCCTTCGGCCAGAAATATTTTGTCATTACTGATTTCATTCACTGAATGTCTTGGACTGTTATAGGACTAAAATCGACCGTTATTTCCATTAAAAGGCTCAACATCAATATAAAAGGAATATAAAAGGAAAATATATGTAACATCCAGATATTGTCCTTTTGGACTATCTATCCTCTTTGGGCTTCTTTGGACTTTCCCTGTTAGTAGATATTGTTATCTTTAGATTTTCTTTTTTGGGCTTCTCCTCACAAAATGTGGATATTAGGGAAATGTCCTACACCCTTGTAAAGAGCCAACTTTTAGCAGATATTGACCTCTTTGGGTTTTCTCTTTCGGGTTTCCCCTCAAGGTTTTTAAAACTAAAGTCCACCGATTGTCGTCTTTTGGTTTTCCCTTTTGGGTTTCCCCTTAAGGTTTTTAAAACGCGGATGCTAGGGAAAAGTTTTTACACCTTTATAAAGAATGTTTCACTCTCCTTCCCAATCAATGTGGGGTCCCACAATCCACCCCTTTCGAGGCCAGCATCTTCGGTGGTACTCGTTTTCTTCTCGATGTGGCACACCACCTCATGTACACACACCTTTGGAGCTCAGCCTCATCACTCACATGATGTCGGACTCTGATACTATTTGTAACATCGCAAGCTCATCGCTAGCAAATATTGTCTTTTTTGCGCTTCCCTTTTGGACTTCTCCTCAAGATTTTTAAAAAACGTGTCTGTTAGGAAGATGTTTTCACATTTTTATATAGAATGTTTCGTTTTCCTTCCTAACCGATGTGGGATCTCACAATATCTTCCTCATATCTCTTGAAAATGGAGATGGAATGGCTGTATTGGAGTAATGTAGATGGAATGGCTGGACAGGTTCAAACTAGTCTGCTGTTACATGAGAAGAGCTCACCTCTGTTAAAAGTACTAATTTGTTTGATTTAGTGTTGTTTCAAAGGAAGCTACAAAGGCAGTATTAGCTCCTTTTGTTGAGAGGAGGAGCTTTTGCAACATGCCTTATTGCCTTTAAATTTGGCAAGCTGAACACTTATAAAAAATTCTTCTTCCTTTTCCTATCGTGTTCAAATTTTTGGTGAGGCCAGTCGTCAACTTCTCTATACCCGATAATCATATGCAGTAAGTCGTTGTTGTTGCCTTTTGCTTACATTCTCATATAACACCAATTTTAATTTTTCAAATCTTGCTTTCAAAACTTTCTTCGAAATCTCTCTGCCCCCATTTTCTAAAACTTTCTTTTTAAATCGGGGCCAGAGGCTGGAACATACATCGATTGGTCATAGGCGACGCAAGAACGAATAGACTTAACTCACTTGTTGCTAGAAAGTGAGTGCTGCACAATCGCAAATCCGCTGCTATCAAAGTGTGATTGTCTGTTTTATGGGCTTTGTCGTGAGTTTTCAAACTATGACAAGAAGTTGCTAGCCTAAAAGAATAAAACGACGAAGGAAAATCGAAAGTCAACCTCTGTGACAGTTAGACTTCGTTCACAAGAAGAATTTTCTTAATACAATTTTAAAAGTGGCACGCTCTCAAAGTCTTCAAGTTCATGATTTTAAAATTAAAGTGCTCACACCTCTAGATTTAAGTTCGTAATTCTTATACCTTGAATAATATGAATAGAATGTTATGCCATGTTGATTAAAAAAAACACTTCTAGCATCTCTAAATGTTTCTTTATCACGGTTGTACATGATTCGGATTGGATTGGGTTGAGGTATTTTTTTAACCCAACCCAAGAGTTCGGGTTGGTTGGTTTGGTAATCCAATCCAAAACTTTTCCAACACAACACAACATCCTGTTTTCGGGTTGGGTTGTCAATTTTTTTTTAAGTTTTATTTATTCACAATTTATAAATATTCCGATACAATCTTAAAATATATTAAAAATTTACAAACAAACACAAATCAATTTATAATTATTTACAAAAAAAAAAAAAAAAAACACACAAATTCACAAAAAAAAAACAAGGATCGAAAATCGTTCAACCTTGTCATAAAGTTAAAGACAACTAAATACCAATATTTCTGGAGAACCGGTTAGAATAAAAAAAATATAAGGATAGATCATGAAAGTAAATAAACAACAAAAATGATTAGTTTAAAGGTATCGTATATAACAAAAATAAAAAATATATAAAAATATTTTAATTGAAATATGCTTACTTATACGCGACTTTAGAGAGTCCTACGCTATTAGAAAAAAAAATATATATAAATTGTGATAAAAATATATATAAATGGTGATATAATGATGTTGCAACAAATAGATAATAAACCCAATAAAATTTAAAATATGCTTAAAAATTATATATATATATTTTAAATATATATATAAACTAAACAAAGAAATTAAAAATAATAAAATAATATAAAAGAAATTAAACAAAATAATAAAAAGAAACACGTGTATATATATAAAGCGTCAAACACGGGCATGAGACTCCTTAGACCGGCCAACGTACAACTTTGGCATACCCATTCTCAATCCAAAGGTTTTGTCCCACGAACCCGAAACCGAACCGATTCAATTCGGGTTCAGAAAAATGAACCAAACCCTACCTAAAATGTTAATTCAATCCAACTCAACCCTTATAGTTTGGGTTGGGTTGGTCCGAGTTGTCGAGTTGAATGTATACCCTTATTCTTTATGTGATAAAAAGAAATGGGTTGGACGTGTCACTATCCAAGATCAAAAAAATCAAATTATTACTCAGATCAATCTTTTATTTGAGTCTTATTGACCCAAAATCAGATCTAATAGTGAAATTCAACGCATCCCATATAGGATATAGAGTAATCTTTGAACAGTCGAAAGATAAAAAAGAATCAATTATCATATTTCATTTAGGAATTTGAAACCGTAACAAAAAAAACTACTCAACAGTAACAAAAATAAATAAATACTTGCAACGATACTCTATATACAAAAAAATAAAAAATGGATTCTAACCGATCAAAATTTATTTTAGAAAAAGAAATGGGAAGAATCTTTATTAGATTTCAAAATTTTGCGTATAAAAGGAATTGATAGTATCCGATTCTACTAAGATTTGCTTTAGGATCGATAAGACTCAAACATAAGATTGATTTGACTAATGATTTGATTTTTTGGACTACAGAGGTATGCTTTATCGACCACGACTTTGGATCTTTTTGCAAAGTCTCTCGTAGAGAGGTCTGCAAATAGATATGATATTTTGAAAAACGAAAAATCTAATATGAACCAATGCCAAAGAATTGTCATATCTCAAGGTTCAATTATAAGAACGGAAGCCAAGAAGCTACAATGAGCTTTAGTCACTTATATTTCGATGAGCTTGTTAAAGAAAGTTCTTGAAGACGTTGGAGTCTTTCCCTGCATGTTGTACAAAGTTGAGCTTCAAGATAGAAATAAATAAAATGCATTTTAACTCATTTAATAAACTCATAGTTGAATTTATTGAGCCTAACACATGGAGTGCCTTGACACATTTCATTTATTGTATTAAAGTTAACGGTATATTGTAACTCACATAAATTACTATATTCGTATGTTAACTAGTCATTTTAATACGGAGGTTACTAGGAGAATTGACTCACATAGATTAAGTTTGTCAAAGACGGTATATAAAGTCTGTTTTCTTTCCAGGTAGATATCACATTTTGAATTGAAAAGAATATAGTTTCTATTTTAGCTTTGTTGAGAGCTAAGTTTTTCACTTTGCAAATTCTTGTGTTTTAGAACTTGCATGTTACCATCATTCAAGTGGTGTGGATCAAAACTCTTGTGGAGTGATATAAATCACGAGTTTATAAACGAGTTTTCTTTACTCTTGATTATCAAGGTCATCTATTCCAAAACTTTCTCTTGGGTTTATTATTAATCGTCTAACGGTCTTGTTTTTTAACAAGGTTATTAAATCAAATCTCAGGTGTTTCATAATATTTGATATGAACCAAGACATTCAATCATGCAATACGTACTTCAATGAAGATGTGATGTGAAGTCCCATATTGGTTGGGGAGGATAACAAAACACCATTTATAAAGGTGTGGAAATTTCTCTCTAGCAGACGTGTTTTAAAGAAAAAACTCAAAGAGAACAATATCTGCTAGTAGTGGACCTAGATCGTTACTCTTGAAAATAAATGTTGTTCAAATTAACGCAAGATAAACTCAAGTTGCAATTCATGGTACAAGTTACAATTCATGGTACGAGGCCCGAATCTCAAATCCAAAAAAAACGGATTTAAGTTTGAAAAATTTTGATGTTCGGCATTGACATGACTAACACTTTTCCTTTGACCACGCTGAGAAACGTTTGGAGATCTTTGAAGTATTGATTAATAGTTTTTGAAATATCAACACGTTCGTATAATAGACAATTTAGAAATTTTGATAAGAATTGAAAACATCATTCATTATTTTTTGACATTGTAACTCAAATGATGTGACATCTTAAAGAGTTTTGTATTTGTCTTTCTCAAAAATTTAAAATTTGCCAATATCCCGGTTTCATATCAAAATTTGGAATAAAAATTGAGTCTTAAAATTCTTTCCATTAAATCCGGCTTGAGTTTGAATACCTAATCCATCCTAAAACTTTATTTAAGGATTTGTAGTTAATTATCGGTCTGGAAACTCCTCGCTCTTTATCGATTTGATTGTTGACTTAGAATACCGTACACGACCTGTCACAATCGCATTTTGAGGACTTGCGATTGTGTGACACTCACTTCTCAGCAACAAGTGAGTTAAGCCTATTCATTCTCGCGTCGCCACAGCTAAATGACATATACTCCATTGGCCCCGGTTCAAAAAGAAAGTTTTAGAAAATAGAGGCAGAGAGATTTTGAGAGAGAGTTTTGAAAGCAAGATGAGTAATTGAAATTGGTATTATATTGGAATGTAAGCAAAAGACGACAACAACAACTTATTACATATAACTATCGGGTAAGGAGATCGATTTGATTGTTGACTTAGAATACAATACACGAACTTTCAAGGCATGCACGCTATTTATTATGTCTTGAACAATCAATCACGAAAGAACTATAAATGATACCATTTTTACTCTCTAATTAACAAATTTTTATTTTCGTAGAATATCATTCATTTGGTAAGACTAAAAAAAAAAAAAAAAAAAAATGATGTTACTTTTTTTTTCGTTAAAAATGGTGAATTTTCACAAAAATTTTTTAAAAATTAATCAAATTTCAATTATGCAATTATATAAATTAGTAAAAATTACGAATTTTTTACATTTTATTTTAGCTAAAAATTAGTAGTAAATGGACAAAATTACAAATTGAAAGTTTTGAACCAAAAATTAATATAAAGTGACAACAAATTTAAAAGTAAAAATTGATTTTTTAAAGCATATTTAAAATCTACCAAACTTTAATTATTAAAAATAAAAAACTATTAAGAAAAACCATCAAATTATAAGATTTGATAAAAGGGTTAACTCTAATGATTAGATAAAGATTATAATTAATCCAAGTGACTTCCACGTTTTATTAGTAAAGATGTAATTTTCTCTTAAATGCAACCATCTCGAACAAAGTACGCTTCCCCTTAATCGAGGCTTGGACTCCTTTGGAGTCTTAGTCATTTTTTACTGCCTTCGAGAAGGCTCGACTCCTTTTCTTTTAGAGTAATTTGTTCAACATTCAAAGATTTAATAATCTATTGGCACGACTAAGTTTCAGGCATGACTCTGATACCATGTTAGGAATCACAAATCTCCACAATGATATGATATTGTTCATTTTGAGCATAAGCTCTCATGACTTTGCTTTGGGCTTCTCCAAAAGGCCTCATACCAATGAACATTTTTTTATAAACCCAGAATATAAGTTCGAATCATCAACCTACAAAAGGGAAACTATACATACAGACGCCTAAACTTAATATACATTAAAAAAAAAGTACAATTAATGAAAGAAATTACAATAAATTCAATGATTCGAAGGAAAAAAAAAGACCCAACTGATTATGAATGTTGGGTTGGATTGGGTTTAAATAATTGTAAATTTTCCTGTATCACGACATATAACCCTAGTTTTTGCAACTAATTCTTTTGTCCAATTATCTCATATTATAAAAAACCGTACTATTTTAAAAAAATATATAAGATCTTGAATAGTATTTTTAGTTTCATTCGATAGTTGATATAGCGCTCTTTGATGCATGTCTGAAATCATACTCGTTATTTTGTATTTTAAAACAGTAGAATCGTACTACGATCAAAACTATCTAAGTCTACAATTAAATCGAATATCGTAGATAAAATATTAATTATCATCTAAAAAATCGATAGTTTGATCTATCACCTAAATAAAACATACTACCACAAACATCCCATACCAAAACAACCATATTTTTTCAAAATAATTTCTAATGCTATCCCAAGTTCACAAATCTTCCTAAGAACAATGAAACCCTACAGAAAGAGCCACAATAGATATATTCTCTATATATATATATATATATATGATCCTCGTAAGAGATTCAAGAGAGCTTACCAGAAGTTGATCAAAGGTCTTTCATCTTTCCCATATCCAAAATTTTCCAAGGAAAAGCTACGTGTGAGGAATGAAGCCTGGTCCGAGATCATTTTTTCCATTCAATCAACACAAAACGACGAACTTTTCAAAGACGAGAAGGAAGAAGAAGAAGAACACAACTTTTAGTTCGAAAAAACATAGAATAACACAATCTTCAACCTCATAAGAAAGAAACCTTGCAAAGGATAAAAAAATGACACAAAATAAACGAAAAAGAACGACCCTTTAAACGAAGAAACACAAAGATTTCGGAACAAACTCCATTCCAAACACCCCTTTGCCTATCTCATTGCAATAATAATCAAAAGAGAACTCTTCATGTTCTCTTCTCCCATCTGCTCAAAATCAGAGGCTTAGAGAGAGAGAGAGAGAGAGAGAGAATAAGAGGTGAAGGCAGCCATGAAAAAAGGGGAAGAAAGAAGATAATTGATGCATTATTATTTCATGGTGGGAAGCACATGATGACAGACAGGTCATAGAAAAGCATAAAAAACTAATAATTAAAAAGGGGTTTGGTGGTTTTTGGAGTCATCACTTTGTCTTCTTCCAAACCTTTTTATATGCTGTGTGGTAATATATTTCTATACTTCTTTTACCTTTTTTTTTTTTTTTTTTTATTGTTCTTTAAGCTCCGCTGCTATGGCTTCTCCTCTCTATCACAGAATATAAGCACTGAAAATCAGGGAAGATAATATCTCAGAGATGGCCTAAAAGACAGGTTTAGGAATGGAAAAGGAAGGGGACATGGGCCTCCACTACCACCACCTCTATACTATACACCATTATTATACATTTGAATTATATGACATGGTCTTATTTTCAAGCAAAAAACCAAACTGGAAGAAAGAACTTGTATGTTTCTGATTTCATTGACATTATTGTGATTTGTCACTTTCTTAAAATATTGGTTATGAAGATTAGATTTCGTTTTTCGGATGTTTGTTTGTCGATAGTGATAGGAATTATCGGTTGTGAATTGATAAGACGGGATAGAAATGAGTTTATCTTTGTTTTCTACCTTCTTTAAATGTTTTGTAGTGATATTACATTCTTGTAATTATTTGAACTTTGGACTTCTGGTTGATGATGTATGTCTTAACAAGTTGAGATGTATTTTCGAGTCAACCAAGTGTTTGGATATATCATAGGCTAATTTGACTCTAAAATATGATTAAGCGTATAAACGATTTTCGATCTTTTTAGGTAACTTGACGATTTTCGAGCTTTTTAGGTAACCTGAGTGTTTTGGTATCATAGAAAAAGTGTAAAAAGCAAAAGAACTTGTGTGATACTTGAAGCAAACTTATAATCCTTCAACCTAATAGTGAAACCCACCAAGTTTATAAAGAAAAGACTTTGAATTGAAAAGGAATATCAATTCAAACTTTAATGTGATATTTCTCTTGAATCCTGCGAAAGAAAAACTACACACAATCGCAAAAGTAGTGTAATGGCTAAGCCCACCGCTAGCAAATATTGTCTTTTATGAGCTTTCCCTTTTAGATTTCTCCTCTAAGTTTTTAAAACGCGTCTCTACTAGGAACAAGTTTCCACATCCTTATGTTTCGTTCTCCTCCCCAATCGATATGGGATCTCACAATCTACCCCCCTTCGGAGCCCAGCGTCCTCGCTAACACTCATTCCCTTCTCCAATCGATCGGGACTCCCCAAGCCACTCCCCTTCAGGGCCTAGCGTTCTTGCTGGCACACTGCCTCGTGTCCACTCCCTTTGGGGCTTAACCTCCTCGCTGGCACATCGCCCAGTGTTTGACTTTGATACCATTTGTAACGGCTTAAACCCACAGCTAGCAGATATTTTCCTCTTCAAGCTTTCCCTTTCAAGTTTCCCCTCAAAGTTTTTAAAATGTCTGCTAGCCAACCGATGTGGGATCTCACTAAGTAATCCTAACCGCTACAACAGATATTTGTTTTTTTTTTTTTTTTCTCTTTTTCTCCCTTTCTCAGTTACCAATGGCATCTGTTCTATTCACACCCTAAAAAAAAACATCTCATTCATTCTCAACCATTCCATTCTCGTTGATCTCTCATTCCTATTCAAGTCCCATACGACAAGATAATTCAATTCTGACCAATTAATCTCAAGGAAAAGTGGGGTTTCCTCTCTTTTTCACAAATCACAAGCTTTTAGACTTTTCCCCTATGAATTGACCCCACAACCTCAATGTTCCCGTCATCTTTGTTTCCTCTTTTTCTTACTTTTACTTTTTCCCTTCCCATTTTTTCTCTCTTTCAACTGTGTCGCGCATTTCCCCCTACATTTCAGTTCATTTCCATGCAAAGATAGCAGAAAAGAGAAACAAAAGGAAATATAAATGAGCTAAAAGACTAAACAAGCAATCACTTTTGACCACTCACCTGTCTAGTCATCTGTTGATCAGACGGTAGACAATCACATGCTGGAAGATCAATGGTCACCACGCAGCTCTCATGCGGGGTCCACCCACATGGGTCAGAGTCTACGAGGCCATGCATGACTGTGATAGTCTCCCCTGTGAAATGGCATCAACATGGGTTCATGATTATTTTAACAATCTATAAAGAATTAACTCTTCTATCATATTTCCCTACCAAGCCAACCCCATTAAGAATACAATAGAACCTTGCAAACAAACAAACCCAGAGAGAGAGAGAGAGAGAGAGAGAGAGAAACAGAATCCTAGCATAGGGAAGCTGGATCGGCATATTTTCTTACAGTATTCCTTTATTTTTTTTTTAGCTAAAGCAAAATGAACACCATAAATACCTTTTCTATTTGCCCCATTTTATTACAATTGAATGAACTGAATTCATGGGGTTGGACTCCATGATGGCTGCAAATTACACCATCAGGGCAAGTATCTACACTGTCAACTACTTTGAAAATAAAAAGGAGTTGAGTTAGGACTGAGGATTTACAGTGAGCTCATTTTGTACAGTTACATTTACAGCAGTTAATAGAAAGGCAGAACCCACACAACCTAAATTGCTACCTGACTAACCCAGTTTAGTAGCAATTTCAAGATGGGTTCTTCACAATCTTAACATTGCTGTAGAAACGCTTCAGGTCCTTTATAGCCTTCTCCTCTATTTGAATTGAACGAATCGATGATGGTGTGTCAACTTCTGGTTTGAACCAGCGGTTTACTCCGTTGGAATCTGAGGGTGAGCCTTGACCAGAAGCAATCAAAAAGCCAGCTGTTCTCACCTTTGGACTGTTCGGTAATAATACCTGTTGTTTTTTTCCTTTCTGCGGGATGAGAAAAAAAATTGCAGTGTCGGTTTTCTTCTTGAATAAATTAAGAATTGCCTTCACTTTGAATTAATCTAAAAGAGTAGAGAGGAGAAATCTGGCATACCTGCTGCATCTGAATGTCCCTGAGAGATGGCCGAGAAGGCGGAGGAGTGCCAGATGCACACCAAGGAGGAGTGTTTCTGTCTCCATCGGTAACTTGAAAAGCTTGAGTCGGGACTACGGGTATTGGTTTGGAAGACAAAAATGAAGCTAACGGGATTTTCCCTTCACTTTTACAATCCAAGAGATCAGCCTGATCTTTACACTCATCCGGCTGTTTCCCTAAGATTTTGCGCTGCTCATCCTGAATTTCACGTAGTGTTGTAGATCCTTTGGCAACCTTAACCCCACCCCACGCTGGACCTTCTATTTTAGGTGTTGGTGGAGGTGCAGCTACCTCTTTGGGCGTATCATCAAGAGCGCCACTCAAGAACATCGACAGCCCACCCTTCCTATTCTTCTTCTTCCTCGTAGCTGTTGGATATGAATTCCTATCCTTCGACAAGTCTGTATCTTTCAACAAACTTGAATTACTTTTCATCGAAATACAAGTGGATGACTCGAGAGCATCAGAATTGTTAATTGTTTCTTCAAAGATTGTGTTGTCCCCCTGTTGGATATAATCAATCATTTTTAAATATATGAAAGAAATCAGTGAAAGTCGTAATCAAGGAAGTAAACACAATGCAGTAAAAAGGTAAGACTGGAGCACCTTAAGAGCCAGGTAAAGAGCAATGGAAGACCAAAATCATTACTACAATTAGGACAACGTTGTATCCAATCAAATGGTTGTTTTGAGTAGTCTATAAGAACACTACTTTATGTTTTTTTCTGTTAAAAAACATTTGTATCGAGTAATTATTTCAAAAGGTTATTTTTAGTTGTTTGACCTATTTAACAACTACTGAAGTTATTTTTACTTCAACCAATACAAAAACATCACAATTCTTTAAAACAGTTTGAAACCAGAAAATTCTTGTCAGAAAACAGTAGCCATACATAACCTCAAATTAACAGGGGGGTGAGAAATTCTTAATCCCCTAAAAACGAAGACAAACAAATAAATGTCATGCCTAACCTTTTTCTTGGCAACTGAAGGCATTTCAACATCACGGAACTCCTCCATATGATCTGGTTCTACATCAGATTTGGCAATACCAGCTGAAGTTTCCAAATGCTCTAGTTTGCATTTGTTCCTCCTCCTATGTTTTTTTGCTAGCACATTGTTCTTATTTCCTTTGTCATTGGGGGGCATTGAGGATGGTTTTGCCTGCAGGGTACCCACTGGAATACCAAGTTCCAGAAGTGAACTTTCAAGGGCAGACTTTGTTTGGAGCTTTGCAATTTGTTGTTCATCAAGGAGATATCCACAGGACTGTTTCGATTCGAGCATCTCAATTTGCTGCAACTTTTTCCGCAAAGCACGAATTTGTTTGGAAATGGCTTCCTTTTGGTTATCTTCGTGGAAAAAAGAATCTGATCTTTGTTCCATTTCATTTGTCATGTTACTCATCAAATGATTCTCTCGGCACCTTAAACTCTCATTCTCACTATCCTCCTCTTCACTGTCAATAATGACAGGCAAAGTAGCAGTTGCAGTCGGGAGCCGACGATAGCTCCATGGCTCAGATGACTTATGGTCTAACAACTTCTCAAGTTTAGCCATAATATCTGGCGAAGCATTTGCAATAGCTTGTGATGCCACTGTAAAAATATAATCAAGGTTCCGAATAGCTATGTCCTGGAACCAAGTGGCAAATGAAATATTAGTTGCACATTATGCTATGACTTTATTACATTTGGCCAAACTTGACAATAAAAAAATAAAACCAATAAAAAGGAAATAATCATATTAAGATTAAGGTCCGATTGCAATTTTGGTCAAAGTGGTTTGTAATTAATCAACTCATTTTCTCCTGTTTTACTCAAACCTAAAACCTTCAGAACGTCTCAAACTGAACTTAAGATGATTCAAGGAAGAGAATCTATAAATTTTGTGAAAAACAAGACAGCAACAAATACGTTTATACTAAAAACCAAATCAATTGATCAAGAAATCTATTATAGTGAAGAACAAGAAGCTACCACATGCAACTCTCTAACTCGCAGAAAGTGGCAGAAAAGTATACCCGAAATTGAGATTAAAGTAAGATCTATGAAGCAGTCATCTAGAAGTGAAGCAGGAGTCCCAAATAAAAATTACTTTTTCAGTATCTAAGTCTTCATATTGCATACCTCACAGTGCTTCCTCAAATCATCAGCCTCAAGTGAATCTGCAATTTCAAGTAGTTGAATAGCATTTCGTGGTTCCACTAAACTCTCTGCAGCAACTTTTTCACAGAGACTTTTCAAGCTAGGTACACAACGAAGTTCAGTGGCAACCTTAGGGGAAGTAGATGGCTCAGTAACAGAGTCAATATCATGAAACATCAAATCTTCATCAAGCTCATCTAGCTCATCCATGCCATTGGAAATATGGTTCTTTGAAATCTTGTTCCCGTAGACATGATAGGCAGGATGATAGAGAGAACCAACAATCAGTAAATGTGTTTCACCAACTGACACGTACGTAGCCCTCTTTACCCCATGCAAACGTGTTGCAAGAGGTGGCTTATCCTTGCCATTCTTCCCATCCCACATAAATACATCACCAATAGATGTAACAGCAGCAATCCAGTATTTTCCTGCCGAAATACTGACCACGTCTCTTCCACAAAGTGAATATAGCTACATGAAAGGAAAAACAGAGATCAGACATCAATAGGTAACTGACAAGTTGTTCACAAGAAAAGAAATAAAACCAAGAGATCAAACTTGTTGGCATCTAAGATCAGCATCCGAGGAATCCCAATAGAATACTGCACCATCATCAGTGAGAGCCATGCTATGAATCATCCCAGCAGCAATGTTAACCACATGAAGCCGTTTCATTCTATGAAACTTTAGTGGGGTGTTCCCACTTTTCTTTAAATTCCTGGCAATTACAACTCGCCTCGGAGTAACAAGCCTATGTCCCCAAGTGTAAACCTGCAACAACATAAAATCCTCTCTTAGAACAGCTAAGCCAACCAAAGATATATCAACATATAATCTGCTACAGAATGACGATGTATGTGCATTGCATTACTAGCTCAAAATTAATGTACCTTTAGAATGAAAATTTACAAGCTCAACAAATCTTTAAAAGTTACCTCTCCATCAAGCCCTAAACATATTGTGTGAAATTTTGCTGCAGCCACTCGAACAAAAACCTTTCCCTTCAAGTATTCAACCACTCTAGGAGTGTAATTAGAAGCTGAGTTAGAGGTGCCATAACCGAGTTGACCTTCTCTATTGCAGCCCCACGTAAAAATTTCACCGGACTCAGAAACCACAGCAGTGTGTTTGTTTGCGGCAGCAACATCAACAATTTTAGACCTCAGAGAACTAACTCTTCGAGGTGTGGGTTGGGTATCAACAGAAGTGTAACCGAGTTGACCCTCTGCAGATC